GAGACTTTCTGCAACTTATTTTCCCAGAAAAAGACACTTTATGAGAACCATTTCCAATCTCAACCAGAATTGGGATGCTATTATTTTTGGTCGATACAGCCCATACAATTGTTCACTTCTGTTCGGTTTTTTTCGTTGACAAGATTAGAAGGATGTCTTTTTCTACTACTCTTTGGAGCTATTTTTTCTCTTCTCTTAATCTTTTTTTTACCCTGTAGAAAAAATCTTTCTAAGCTCAATTTTTTATCTTTCTAGATAGTACTTTTATTATCTTTTGGTTGAAGAAGTATGTATTTGCAACCATAAACAGGTTTGCCCTAGACATAGTTTTAGCCTTCAATTGTTAGCAAACCTCATATTTAGAATGTTTCAATCACTTCGATTGGGTTTGCGCAGGTGTCGTTGGCTTAACTCCAGTGTGAGTCATGTTCCGAAATCGGTGTGGTTTTCAGCATGGGTTCTTACTTTCAACCATTTCTCATATAGAGCAAGATGCTTCAAAGTTGAGGATATAACAAAAAATCTTGGAGATGGAAGGTGAGAGCCAAATAATGTTTGTAGATTTTTATCTTGTTTGTTGGTGTTCTTATGCAATAAACTCAGAAGAGGTGACCATGCTTTGCATGTCTAATGAATAATAAGAAATGTTTGGCTTTGAATGAGTTCTTGTTCAGACTTGTTATAAAATGCTTTTACTTTCAATTTCTTACTAGTAATTAATATACAAGGGTAATTCTTCTAGTTTTCTCTTTTAGAGAAATGAAATGGGTGATCTTAGTTGGTTGGTGTTTACTATCTCTACAGAAAAAATTAATTTTCAAGTGTTTAATCTTCCGCAATCTATTTAAGTTCTGACTTCATGCGGAACCGAATCCATCAGACAGTAAATTCTATTAAAGAAAAACAACAAATAAAAAAGTATCTTAATTTCTTTCACTGTTTCTTGGAAACTTATTTTTACCCCCTTTATGATTTTATATAGAAGTTTATGTAAATCTTACATGAAACCCCTACATATTTACGGATAGATATAAAATTGAAAGCCCGGTGTATAATTTTTATACTTCAAAAGAATGTACGTAATAGTTGAAGGGTTAATTTCTTCACCTATTTGATTAGTTAAACAAGTCAAAACATGTAAAGCCGATTGTAGATATGATATTTGAAGTCTTACCCAGTTCTGCACATTTAATGGTTACTAATATGGTGTAAACTTACTAAAAGCTAAAGACAATTAATCAATTAGACTTTGACAATTTCAATGGATTATCTTTTATTTTATTATGGTTAGTTCACTGACATTCAAGGAAATGACAAAAAATATATGTATATATATGTGTGTGTGTGTGTGTGTGTGTGTATGGTTTATGACAAGAACCCTTCAAATAAAACAGAGAAGGAAAGAAGGTATAGGAATTAATGTAGGATAAAATAGAACCAAAAGAGTGATTTGTTTGTTTGCTATATAACATTATGAGGTGCCTACTTGCAACTTACATGCTTCCATGACTCATGAGTTGTGGCTTATATAAATTTTATCACCTGGAGTCAGTACTCACAACTCTGAGGTTGACGGACTTGCTCCATATTTATTTATTTATAAGTGACATGGGCCTCTTCCTTTCGACCTTGTTCTGATCGCCGCCTATACATACATACACTTCATGCTGTATAAATACCCATATGTGTATATATATTATTGGCTGCTTGATTTGCTAGATCTTAAAGTGTACAAGTCCACACTCATGTTTGGTCTTGAATCATATATACATGATTCTCATTTATATTTATGTGCACAGAATATCATATTGGTTTATATTCAATTATATATATATATATCTAAAGAGAGGGAGAAAGTGGTTTACTTGCCTTCACTACCAAGTGCTGTAGGATTAGAGAAATGAAGGTCACAACACAGCAGATTCAACTCGCACCTGATCCCTTACGTGCTTATCACCTAACAATATGCTTTCGGATTTTTATTTTATTTTTATATGGTTTTTGAGAAGGTGACCTAATTTTGTTTTTTGATTAAACCAAAAGTCAACACTTAATATGGATACACTACATGTGAGTTGTTAAGATTTTTAAGTATAGTTATAATTGAAGCTTATAACATGTCATATACGCATGTTAATCGTATGATTATGGATAATGAAAAATAATAAAATAATAATCAATTTTACTTTAAAAAAGTATAAAAAGATAAAGATTTTAGGTTATAATAGTTTTAATTGAACTGGGTCATTTTTACTTTAGATTTACTACCACTTATACATATACATATATTTATGTACATATATATGTATTATTTGGTATCCCCTTAATAATTCGACCTGCAAAATGTAAAGCCAATTATTTATATAATTGCATTTATACATAATTAACATGAGAAAGGTCAGCCCTCCTAACCCATCAATCCCTATTAAAGAGAGGAAGAACTTTGTAATTATTCAATAATTATAGATGCTAATTTTAAATTATTTAAGAAGTGTGTGTATATATAATTTCATTAAATAATACTCGCATGTACCATTGTCCATATTCTTGGGATGTATAGTTAGGATTACAATTATCACTAGATGTTGTGTAAAAAAATTAACTTTTCAGTGACCGGAAACTAAAAGGAGAGTTCTAGAATGTAAGGTTTGGCTGACCAATTTCATTAAGATTTTATTCTCTTCTCTCGAATGAGGTGCTCTCTCCCCCCAGGTCAGGGGATAGATGAGGCAATAAGAGTTTATATAGAAATGTAAGCCTTACCTTTATATGAAAAACTAACGTGAGTCGTATAAAAAGAACGTTTATAAAGGTTATAGATACCAATAAAGTAGTCCCCTTGGAGTTTTTAAACCAACTTAAATCTTTAATATACAATTAAACACATATTATTAATAGAAAGAAAATTAAAAACATGAATTTACTCATCTTAAAGAGCCTTAAGGAAAGAGAAACCCCTTGTAGAGATACGAAATAGGATAATGGACTAACATGACTAACCTAAGTCAAATGACTTGGTTGCTGTAAGAGGTCAGAAGATAGATGAGACAATAAGAGTTTACATAGAAATATGAGCCTTACCCTTATATAAAAAACTAACACGAGCCATCGGAAAAGAGGTTGTTGAACGTGCTCATATTTTCTATTGTTGCCCTATTGATCGATAACAAAGTATTAAAAATTAATTATAATAACTTTATCCAAAATAAATATACAAAGGCATCGGACCATCTTCTTGAGGAGTACTTCCTTCGTTGTGACAATAATTATATATAAAATGTATATGCAACATATATTTGTAAAGTAAAACATCAATTAACCAAGAGAGCCTAATTTATAATGCCACTTATGACTTTTTAATTCCCTTATTAGGTCAAAGTACTTATTATCCATAACCTAATACTAACCCTATTTATATATTATATACACATATATAACTAAGGGTACATGACTAACCTAAGTAAAATGACTTAGTTGCTCTAAGAGGTCAGGAGATAGATGAGACAATAAGAGTTTACATAGAAATATGAGCCTTACCCTTATATGAAAAACTAAATCGAGCCATTAGAAAAGAGGTCGTTGAACGTGCTCATATTTTCTATTGTTGCCCTATTGATCAATAACAAAGTATCAAAAACTAATTGTAATAACTTTATCCAAAATAAATATACAAAGGCATTGGGCCATCTTTTTGAGGAGTACTTCTTTTGTTGTAGCAATAATCATATATAAAATGCATATGCAACATATACTTGTGAAGTAAAACATCAATTAACCAAGAAAGCCTAGTTTATAATGCCATTTATGGCTTTTTAGTTCTCTTATTGGGTTAAGTACTTGTTACTTATAACCTAATACTAACCCTATTTATACATATATATACACATATATAACTAAGGGTACATGAGATACCCTATATTTAAGGATAAAGTATAATGATATGACTTAAATATATATAAATTAATGAAAATGTGGCTACAATTAAACAAATAAAAAGCTAAAATAAAAATTTAGTTCATGTATTTTTGTTCAATTTAGTCTCTATCTCAATTTTGCATTAATTTAGTCCTTATAATTTCAAAAAATATTTGAATCAATTCATTCCTGTTATTAATATATAACGTATTAACTTCAGATTGTATGTATAAATTTTTTATTATATAATAAATTCTGATAGGTTATTAACCTAAATTAGATGTCATATGACGTATGACATTGCAGAAAAAGTTTTGCATATAGACTAGTTTAGGTATGTTAGTATTGAAAAAAACCCTATATATACTAGCTAGTCTCATCCTCAATACCTAATTCTTTTACTCATATTTGCAAAGACATGAACAATTGGCTTTCACCTTCTCCCCTTTAGTTCATCAATTGATTTGTGCACACTGAGAACATGACTTCTAATTCTTCATTCCTCAATCCCCATAAATGATGTCTCCTTCGTTTTCCTCTTCCTACCTCAAAACCCTCATTCACGCCACAACACCCATTCTCTATTTTGCTCACCCTTCTTCAATCGCTAATAAACAATATTACCCTAAGGCCACTAACAAGGCGACTAGCTTTACTAGTAATAGGGGCAATAATGTCAATCGTATGATTGGAGATCTAGTCTACTAAGGTGTATGACATTAGAATATGGATAGATGGGTAACTAAAATCACCTAAGAAGCCCAACTGGATCTAGTTGTTTAAAACTTGGAAAGACAACGTGAATCTTCATGAAGATGTCGACAACGCAAAAAATAGGTCATGTTTCTAGATTTTCTTCCTTCATGCTCAAACAGGTCAATTGATATGGGAAAGAGGAAAAAAAAGCAATTGGGGATTAGAGGTGGGGGTCGATTAGTATATATATATATACACACATATATATATTTTTTAATGTAGACTAGCTTGAATTGTTTCATATATAAAATTTTTTTCTGTCGCTTCAAATATTACGTAATATCTGACGTAGATTAATGGTGACATCTAACATAGATTAATAGTCTACTAGAAAATGTCACATGCCAAGAATTTAC